GGTTCAGTGAGAGGGAAACAGAACGTTCTGTTTAACGTTGTGGTTAGCACCCCTTAAAAATATGTCTCCTGTTCAGACCTACGCAGAGGGAACATTCATTTTCTTGGATGATTAAGAACTTTGAGTTAGCTCAGGAAAATGGAAAACAGGAGCTCTGACTCCAGGATAACATGAACATATAAAGAGAAAGAATGGGACCTATTTAGTGAACAATGACCTCAGACTACATTCTGAACATTTAAATTTTTTCCCAAGGTCTTGAAATGAACTACCTTTTGGCCTTTTTCCATCAAAGTTGGAAAAATTAAAAAATTTATCTGAATCCACTGAATCAGGCCCAGTGAAAAAAGTCACCGTGTCATAATGGAGTGATTCATTCACCAAACTGAATCAGCTGTGTTTCCTTTCTGCCAGCTCAGGCCTATGTACTGGAGATTCAGAGATGAGAAGACAGACTCTTAAAGAAGTATTTCATCTGAAGGATTCCGTTGTGTGTGTCAGTGAGCCTGCAGCTTCCTATTGTTCTCTAATCTATGGCAAAGACCTGTCGTTCGTCTCTCTGTGCATCCCCACAGCACCGGGTACAGTATTCTGAGGGCTGCCAAGTATCGTAGTTGATAAATGTTAACCAGCTCTTGCACTCACCCAGTTAAGAATTGGACTTGAACATAGTAAGAAATGCAGCTGGCTAACGGCCCAACCTGGGATGTTTGGTTTTCTAAGAGGTTTCGTTAAAATGCAGCACTCATCTATGTAGTATAGTAACTGCTACGTCATGCTGAGCTTTATAATAATACAAAGTTCAGGAGGGCTGACTGTGCCTGACTACCTCCTTTCACTTAGTTCATGTTTCTTTTAACAAAAGGAACATTTTCCCAGCTGCCATGGAAACCTATTCTAATAGCAAGCTATACTCACCAACACATGCACAAAACAACTAGTGAAGAATTCCCATCCCTCATCTGAACTCCAGGATCTGTTCTTCCATTACTAATACCTATTGCTGTTTTAAGGGCAACATGATCTTAAAATTTACTTATATCACTTAGTTAAAAAAATTTTTTTTGATTTTTAAAATCATACACAGTAGTCAAAAAATTAAATTTCACTTTCGATGAGAAAAGAGGCAGGAACATGATCTATCAGGTAATTATTCAGTTTTAGAATTTAAAATCAACATGTGGGCATTCCTTCCATCTGATGGAAAGATTAAACAGTAATAACTCACACGAAATATACAAGATCACGTAATGATACTTCCATCAGTTACCTAAAATGGGTGCCTGCAAAGAAAGGAACATATTTCTAGTTTGGTTACCAAGCAAGTTACTAGGAAAAAAATGGGATATATTTCACATCTAGGAAAAATAACCCACATCTGGAGAATAGAAAAATCCATAACAAATACATGGAATATAAGGTGATAAATATTAGGCACATTTTCTAGAGATATCAATGCCGATAATAACTGACTGCATAAGTCTAGTGTATCAAAGGGATGAAGTGAGCTAAATACAGGGAACTACCTAATGTTCATGACCTAACAGATTTACTTAAGGGCAGACTGGGAATAGGCTATCCGGGTGAGTGAAGCAACAGAGACTCTTTCATACATTATTTCAGGAACTCTTAGACAGGAAGTACGAATACAAGGAATGGAAGCCTCCTGGAAGAGCAGAGGATGTGCTGCTCTTTCCTCCGGCACACACTCCATCTTTTCCTGTCTTCCTATTCTCTCCGTGGCTGTCTTCTATTTTTGCCTTGCAACCTCTGGAATTTTCTCTGCTCTTTTGCATGTCTTTTCCTTAATTCACCAGAACAAAGACAATAGTATTCCGAAGGTTGGCATTCTTTGCCATGTATCTTTTTTATATCTTTGTAATGTTTAATATATTTCTTCTATTTTTTGTATTTTGAGAAAGTAAAGTCTACTTTGCTATAAATTTTAAAGTTAGGTGAACTAAGTTTTTTACACATCTACTTTTCAATCCATTGACATTTGATCTCTCACTATCCCCGAGCCTTTCTTTTAAAAGTTAGAAGGCCTTCCGGTAATTGTGAGACAATAGCTCATGTAAGAAAAGTTCATCTCATCTTTACCTAATACATTCTTTCACACTGAGGTTTATGTCATTTTTTTCCTCCCTATTTTTATCCTTTATAGAAAGATGAATTCAGTTTTTATATAAAACCATGCATAACATCTACTGTTAACTCACCAAGAAATTTTCTTTTTAGGATAACTAATCCAGGCTCCTTATTTAATTTTGAGAAGGCAGAATAATATACTGGTTAAAATATTCCAAATTCAAGTAGACAAAAATTGTACTTCTGTGCACCAGTTGTGTGCCCTTGGGTCCGCTGCTTGACTTCACCAAATTCAGTTTTCAGAACTACAAAATGGGTATAATGATAATCCAACTCACATCACTGGACTACTATAATATCAAACAGATTAAGTACAAAGTTCAAGCACTCTAATTGTCATTTAGTGTCTAAACTTTCTCACCATTTCACTTTGCAATAACCTACTGGTAATCTGTAATACGTCTCTTTTCTTCCTTTTAAATGTATTTTTTTTGAGGGGGGTACCAGGAATCAAACTCAGGACCTTGTGCTTGCCAGGCAGGTGCTTATGCCACTGAGCTATATCCCTGGCCCGATAATTTTTTTTTTAACATAATTTTTTTTTTCTTAACCCCTATTCTATTCAATTCTTTCTTCACCCACAGTCCAGGCTCCAGTGTCTGGAAAGACTATGACTTATATGTCAAAATATTAAATACAGGGATTTTAACTACATGCTCTACCTTTATTTAAACAACCCACTCTCAATTTTTCCTTATACCACTGGAAGCTGACTGACAGCTTTAGGATGTCTTTCTCCTGGGAGATACTGTACAGGAAAAAATCTGCTTCGAAACTCTTAAATATCCCTTTGAGAGAAAAGGTAGATTATCACTGTCTTCACCTCACACATAATTAGGGCCTAGGAGAATCCTGAGAGACTGAAACAGCAAAAATAGTCAGTGAGATAGACTGAAATAACGCCATCCGTGACACTACATTTATGATTTGGATTTGGTAACACATGTTCTTAAGGGATGTTCTTGGGCCCGGGAATATAGCTCAGTGGCACAGTGCTTACCTGGCAAGCGTGAGGTAGTGAAGTTCGATTCCTAGTACCAAAAAACAAACAAACAAAAAAAGTAAAGAACTTAAGAAAGATTCTTAAACTGGGCACAGTGGTGTATATGTATAATCTCAGCTACTTGGAGGCTGAGGCAGGAGGCTCTCAAGATAGAAGTCAGGATGGCAATTTAGCAAGACCCTGTCTCAAAATTAAAAAAATAAAAAGGACTGGGAAAGTAACTGGGTGGTAGAGTGTTTGCCTAGCCTGTATCACACCTTGGGCTGAATCTCGAGTACTTCCAGAAAAGGAAAAACTAAGGAAGGAAGGAAGGAAGGAAAGAGGGAAGGAGGGTGGGAGGGAAGGAAGGAGGGAGAAGGAAGGAAGGAAAGGAGGAGGGAAAGAAGAGGGGGCGGAAGGGAGGGAGGTGAGGAAGGAAGGGAAGGTGAGGGTAGCGGGGAGGAGAGGAGGGGATAGAAAGGGAAAGGACCCAGAGACTTCATACATACTAGTCAATTGAACTGCACGAGATACAATTCAAAAGGGAAAATTTAAAACAAAACTATAATACAATTTTCAAAAGGGTATACCTATCTTATGGAGACAGGTTCAAAATCTGGTCTGAGACAAATACTTTACTCTCTTACCTAAAACTCCTCTTAGAATGTATGTCATTAATTTACTGCAGCCTTTTTCTGCCTGATTTAGTTCGTGAGAGAAAGTACAGTTTTCTCTTCTTCAGACCATAAACCATGGTCATGGGCCCATGTGGAGAAAAAGGTAGGTCCTTTTACCATGAAAAGCCCTATCCCAAGCCCAAATTTCTCTTTAAGGCTAGCTTTCTGAAGCCAGTTCTAAACTCCCAGGAACATACCAGGTGGATTAACAGGTCACCCTCTGAAAACCTCTCCACTTTTTATATCAATCATCTGCATTGTTTCTGTGTAACAAGCGGATCATCTTTAGCTAGCCTTGACAGTTATTTAACAACCCTAACCCACATAACTGATGGTATCATAATGATACTACAGCCAACAGTTGGGAAGAGAAATGAAAAGTATAGCCAGGGGTATATTGCACACTTTAATGCTTTTTCCAATTCTTATTCTGCCTGTATCCTGGGGTAAGCTTATTCTACTTTATATTAAGACTAGGAGTCCTAAGGCAATATTTAACAGTTAACTTTTCTATCTTTTCCCAAACTTCCCAACTTGTTCATCTGTTAAACATATATTCGGCACTATGCTATAGTATAAAAAGCTAAAAGAAGATACGGCTCCTGCCCTGGAGGAAATTCAAGAAATTAATAGTCAATGACTACCAAGTAATGACAGACATTAGCAAAGTAAAACAGGACTCAATTGACAGATATCCAAGTCAAACTGCACCCCAATTTTTCATCTTAATATGAGTAAGAAAGGGCTCAGAGTCTGCAAAGGAAGCTTAATTTCTATACTCCTTCTTTGAAGTTATTAACTCCATTTGTAAGAGCTGATATTCCTTCCAGAAAAGACACTAATCAGTGTTTTAACCAATGAAAGAGAGCTGATACAGTAATGAAAGAGACATGAAAACTGTGGGTTTCAATCTCTTTCCCACAAATAAAGCACTCACCTCTCTCTACTGTGGTGTTTGAATTTGGACAAGTAACTTCACATTCTGCATTTAATTTGCTTTATCTGTCAAGTGAGGGTAATTCCATCCTCCAAACCTGAAGGTGGGCTTGGAAGACTCATCAAGATACCTGCTATTCAACTACACAATCTGGGTATTTGCAGATCCAAAAAAAAGCAGGCAGGAAGCAGCCAAGGGAAGAGCCCAGAGCCTAGGGAATCGGAGAGCAGCGAAGAAAGCTGAAGCCAGTTCTCACCGAGAGGATCTTGTCACCCTCCTGGAGCCGCCCATCCTGGGCCGCAGCCCCATTCTCTTTGATGCTGCTGACGTAGATCCCACTGTCATTGGAGACATACTGCTGATCTGTCCCACCGACGATGTTGAAGCCCAGCCCTGAGAAAATCACAGAAGAGTAAAGGAGATGGGGGCAAAGAAAGAAAGAGGTTAGAGAAAAAGAGAAGAGAAAGGAGAGGAAAGGAGGAGGGAGAGGAGGGAGAGAGGGAGAGACCCTTTTGGGGAGAAGTGGCTGGTGAGTCAGACTTCAAGGTAGCAGTGGACAGTGGAGCAAGGTCAGTAAATATCACCCACAAGAGCCAAGATTACCCAGAGTTCCCCACTCGCATCAGGCAAGACTAAAAAATGGAAACACAGTGATCAAGACGACTTGTTGGCTATATAAAGATTTATGTACAACTTAGATAAAGAATTGTGGTGATTCTTGTAAGGTGTAAGTGCTTCTATTCACATTCAATTTTGGTCCCATTGAGAGCATTCAGAGAACCCAGTTCCTGGTATTTCTGGTATTAATGTAATAGGATTAGCTGTTCTCATGAGAAGGAGCTATGCTTTTAATCATTACCAAATTAATCACTACTAGTAGAGTGGGAAAGAGACTCCTCATCATACCTTCTCCTCCATAGTTTTCTTCTCTCAAGACCAGGAGAATTTTGGAGTTTTTATTTTTTTCTATCTTGTGTTGGGAGAGGGGGACAGTAGTATAAAGAGAAGCCACAAAACACTTATAAAGGAAAATTCATAGAATTACAGCAGACTTCTCAACCCTTAGAAACCAGGAGAGCATGAAGTGAAGTGTTTCAAGTCCTAAAAGAAAACAACTTCCGACACAGACTGATATATCCTACAAAACTATCTTTCAGAATTAATAGAGAAACAAGGTTTTTCCATGATAAAGGGAATGTTAAAAAATTTATGACCTAAAAACCAGCACTCCATAAATTCTAAAGGACATCTGTTAAAGTGACACCAAAGCCAACAATGCCAAAAAATCGAACAGTATGAAATTACCAGGCAGGGGGAGCAATTAAGCAAAAAGGAAAAAAAAAAAAAAAGGGAATCAGCAACAGGAAAATAATGAAATGAGAGGAATAAGTCAGTATCATTCAGTAATAACTCTCAATGTGAATGGTCTCAATTTCCCAATGATAAAATACAGATTGGTAGAATGAATTAAGAAACAAACTCCAATGGTATGCTACACACCAGAAACATTTGACCCAAAAAGAAATTCACAGACTAAAAATCAAAACATGGAGCTGGTAGTGATGGCACATGCCTATAATCCCAGCACTCAGGAGGCTGAGGCGGGAGGATCATTGCAAGTTCAAGGCTAGCCTGGGTTACATAATAAGTTCAAATAGTAAGACTCCATCTCAAAATCAATCAATCAAAGGTCTGCACGCAGAAATCTGAAAACAAGCAGGAGTAGCTATTCTATTTTCAAACATAGCAAACTTTAACCCAAAATGATCAGAAGAGGTAAAGAAAGTCACTAACATCATTTAAGGGAAGGAAGAGATAGGAATTATAAACATAAAAGCATTGAACATCTGCATGCTTAACTGCGTAAAATAAACACTACTAGACATAAAAGATCAGATAAACATCAATACAAATTTGCTGGGGGACCATGATACTCCACTGCCACAAATAGATCAACTAGACAAAAATAAAAATCAACAAAGAAATATGAGGTAAAACACAAAGGAACTTAATAGATATCTACATGGTGATCAGTCCAAAAACAAAACATTGTTCTCATATGGAAATTTCTCTCAAATAGACCATGTATTAGCCTATAAAGTATGAATAAAACCAATGCAAAAAATCTGAAATTATCCCATGTATATTATCAGATCATAACATGATGAAACTAGAAATCAATAGCAACAGAAACTATAGAAATTATGCAAACTCATGGAAATTAAACAACACATCCTTGAATAATCATTGGGTCACAGAAGACATTAGACAGTTTCTAGAATCAAAGAAAATACCAGTACAATATGGTACAGTATACAAGAAGCTATGCGGCACAACAAAGCAGGCCCAGAAAGGAAGTCTATAGCTGTGAGCGCTGACCTTAAAAAACAAAGCGAGCCCAAACAAATAACCTAACGGTGCACCTCAAGGTCACAGAAAAACAACAACGATCCCAATCCAAAGTTAGTACAAGGAAATTACAAAGATCAAAGTAAAAATTAATGAAATCAAGACTAAAAAAGCAATACAAAGCATCAATGAATTGAAGATGAAGTTCTCTGAAAGAATAAAGATGACAGAAAAATCTTAAGAAAAAGACTAAATCAATACAATTAGAATGAGATAACATTGGTTGATTAGCTTTGTATGTCTATATGTGTTTTCATGAGAAACTACATTGAAGATAACAATATGTAATACAATAAGCATTGTTAATTCCCTACCACTCTGTTTATAACTCTGTAATGTCTGTACTGATCCTATGCTATTTTGTAAAATCTTGTCGGTCTGTTAGTATTTTCCTCCTTTTATTTCTAAAAAAAAAAAAAAGAATGAGAAAGGTAAAACCATAGCAGACACTACCAAAATTCAGAATATTATTAGCAACTACTTCAGAAACCTGTACACTATGCCAATAAACTGTAGAATTTAGAAGAAATGGAGAGACTTGTAGATGCATAAGAATTACAAAAACTCAACCAAGAAGATACAAAAACCCTGAGCAATCCAATAACAGTCAATGAAATTAAAGCAATAATGATTTTTTTTAAACTGCCAACTAAGAAAAGCCCAGGACCTGATGTATTGACTGGAACAATCCAATACCAGGCCATGAAATTAAAGCAATAATAATTTTTCTAAAAACCTACCAAGAAAAGGCCAGGATCTGATGTATTGGCTGCTGAATTCTACAAGAATTTCAAGGCAGATCTAATGCCAATACGTTTCAAACTCTGATGAAATTAAAAGGGAAGGAGTAATTCTAAAGTCATTCTTGGAAGGCAGCATTACTCTGGTTACAGAGTCAGAAAAGGATCCAGATAAAAACAGAACTACAGACCAATCCGTCTAATAAACACAAAAATGATCAACAAGATGGTGGCAGACAAAATAGTAAAACATCCGAAGGTCATACTTTATGATCAAGTAGGATTCATTCCAGGAACACAAAGATGGATCAACATGTGCAAATCAATAAATGCAATATATCATATAAACAGAAGCAAGGATAAAAAAAAATCATGATCATCTCAATAGACACACAAAAAGCCTCTGACAAGCCTAGATCCATCCTAATAAAAACCCTGAAGAACACAGGTATGCAGCAGATGGGCCTTATCTCAATATGATAGAGGTGATTTATGACAAACCCATTGCCAACATCACATTAAATGGGAAGAGGCTGAATGCTTTCCCTCTAAAAGCAGCAGTAAGACAAAGATGTCCACTATCACCACTGTCGTTTAAAACAGTACTGAAAACACTGGCCAGAGCAATCAAATAAGAAAAAGAAACAAAAGGGCTCATAGGAAAGGAAGAAGTCAAATCATCATTACGTGGAGACATACAATCGACAGAGAAGACCTAAAAAGAGATCTAGACTAAAAAAAATTCAGTAATGTAGCAGGATACAAAATAAACATAGGAAAATGAATTGCATTCTTGTACACCAATAATAAATTCACTGAGAAAAAAATTAGAAAAACAGTATCATTCACAATAGTATCAAGAAAAAGTACATATGTAAGAATTAACCTAATCAAGGATATGAAAAAAAACTCTATATGAAAATACTACAGTTGTCTGAAAAAAGAGATCAAAGAAGACATTAGACAATGAAAAGATATCCTGTTTCTGGATACAAAGAACCAAAATTCTTTGTATCATCTTTTTCTGCAGAAAGATGGAATCTCAGTGTTGTTTTAATTTGTGTGTCTCTAATGGCCAGAGATGTTGAATATTTTTTTATGTATTTGTACTTCTGAGAAATATCTAATTCAGTTGTCCTTTTTCTCATTGGGGCCTTTATTTTGAAGGGGTCTACTGTTTTGCCAAAAATGGCCATATTTCCAAAGCTGATATACATATCTAATGCAATCCCAATCAAAACACCAATAATGTTCCACACAGACCTAGGGAAAACAATCCTAAAGTTCATATAGAACCACAAGAAATCTAGCATACCAAAAGCTCTCTTTGGTAACAAGATAAAAGTTTGAGACATCAAGAATCCTGACTTCAACTTACATTATAATGCCATAGTGATAAAGAATGCATCATACTGGCACAAAAAAACAAGACATATGGACAAATGGAACAAAATAGAAGATACAGAAACAACCACAGGCACATTCAACTATCTGATTTGCTAAAGGGGCCAAAAGCACACTATAGGAAAAGGTAGCCTCCTCAGAAAACAGCACTGGGAAAACTTGGTATTCACATAGAGAGGACTGAAACTAAGCCCGTATCTCTTACCATGTACTAAACTAAAATCAAAATGGATCAAAGATTGAAACAGAAACACTGGAAGATAAAAGAGGTAAAACTCTTGAACACATAGGTGTAGGCAAGTGCTTTCAGAATAAAATCCCAACTGCACAAGAAACATTAAGAATCAACAAATGGGACCATATTAAATTAAAAAGCTTCTGCACAGCAAAAGAAACAACCAACAGAGCAAAGACACAATCTATAGCACGAGGAAAATTTTTGCCAGCTACTCCTGTGGACTAATCTAGACTATAGCTAGAATATACTGCATAAGGAATGCAAAACAGTAGACCCCTTCAAAATAAAGGCCCCAATGAGAAAAAGGACAACTGAATTAGATATTTCTCAGAAGTACAAATACATAAAAAAATATTCAACATCTCTGGCCATTAGAGACACACAAATTAAAACAACACTGAGATTCCATCTTTCTGCAGAAAAAATGCCTATCATCAAAAAATCAAAGAGTAACAAATGCTAGAGAGGCTGCAGGAAAAAGGACCATTTCTACATTGTTCCTAGAAATATAAACTAGTACAACCATAGCAGAAATCAGTATTTAAACTCCTCATAAATCTAAAACTAGAAATTCCATTCCACTCAAGTATTCCTCTTCTAAG